CCCCCATCCACCCCTGTGTCCCTATCCCCTAGATCCCTGCCAATCCATTCCCATGTCCCCAGCTCCTGCCCATCCATCCCCACATCCCTGTCCCCTGTGTCCCCGTCCCCTGTGTCTTTCCTAATTCATCTCCTGTGGTGTGTGTCCCCCCACCCCGGTCTCCATCCCTGCCAATCCGCCCCGGTGTCCTTGTCCCTCAGGTCCCTGTCAATCTCTCCCTGTGTCCCTGTCCCCAGTGGCCCTGCCAATCCATCCCCGTGTCCCTGGTCCCTCTCCATCCATCCCCTGGCTGCTGCATCCCCGCCAATCCACCTCTGTGTCCCCCATGTCCCCATCCCCCATGTCCCCGTCCCCCCACCCAGCTGCTGAGCCAGCACGGGGCCAGGAAACACCCTTTGCCCACGGCAGTGAACACCGCGGCCTCCGAACGCCGGCGAGTGCCGGGCCTGGGGAAGGTTGCCAGCGAGATAAGGGATTCCTGCCGGGAGCCGGACCGAGGCTCAAGGGCAGCGGGTTCTGCCCGGCGTTCCCGGTGCTGCCGGCTCAGCAGCTTCTAAACCAGCCCGGGGACAGGGACGAGCCAACCAGGGACGGTGGCGGCACGGCCATCGGCACGGGGACAAGGCTGGGGGACACCGTGAGAGCCGTCGCCGGCTGCGGTGGTGACGTAGACACCGGGTTGCGGTGTTTCGGTGGCGGCTCTCGGGGAGGAACCTTGCACCCATCGAGGTGCGTGGGTTCACTGCCAGGCGCAGAAGTGAAACCCCGCGGCCATGAGAAGCCCCAACAGACTTTCTTCTCCTCTCGGCAGTGCCGGAGCCGGGGTGGCGGCGGCATGCTGACTGTGAGAGGGAGGGTGCTGGGGCTCAGTGTCGCAACCGCAGCCTCCGGCGCCCTACAGACACATTGTCCGTCTGCATTGGGAAGAGAAAACAGCGGGAAGCCAGCGGCCAACATCTTGCTAAGAGGTTGGCGTGGAGGGTTGCCAAGCCAAACTGCCGGCACCCCAGCTCTCCCTCCCGGTTGGCAGAGACTGAGGGGCCGCGCTTGCATCCCTGGGGTCCGTCTGCTGCCCGTCCCCACAGCCCTTCAGTTTCCATCAGCGCAAAAAATTCCCTCGCGTCAAAAAAAACAATAGAAAAGAGGAAGCTGGGTGTTTCGGGGAGCTCAGCTCCCCTTCCCCATGCATTTGGGATGAGGTCACTGGACCGACGCTGCAGCAGCCGGCAACGTCTTAACCCACCCACGGCCAGGCGACAGCGAGGTTATGTGCCGGGGTGATGGGAAATCACGGTTTGGGTGCATAATGCTGAACTCGCATGGGTTGGGGGCGCAGGAGGGGGCCCCCCCGGCTGCCTCCTCTCTCAGCTGGTGGTACCCAGCCCTGACCCCGTAGCAGCTGGCGTGGCACTGGGGCTCAACCATGGGGACTCTTGTGGCACTGTGGGCTGGAGTGAGACCTGTGGGGCCGAGCGGGCTGGGGCAGGAGGGCAATGGGGCAGGAGAACTGCCCCATAATGGGGCAGTGGGGCTGAGGGGTGGGAGAACTGACCCCTAATGGGGCAGGAGGACAGTGGGGCAGGATAACTGACCCGTAATGGGACAGTGGGGTGGGAGAACTGACCCATAGTGGGGCAGTGGGGTGGGAGAACTGCCCCAGAACGGGGCAGGAGGGCAGTGGGGCAGGAGAACTGCCCCATAATGGGGCAGTGGGGCGGGAGAACTGCCCCACAATGGTGCAGGAGGGCAGTGGGGCAGGAGAACTGCCCCAGACTGGGGCAGTGGGGCAGGACCCCCCCCGGGCAGCCCTCCCCTCCCCGCGGTGGCCGCTCCCCCGGGGGATCCCCGCCGCCGAAGTCCCCG